AATTTCGGATACAAATGCTGTTTCTGTAGTTTGAGTAAGTAGGTGAAATTTGTGAAAATAATGACGATTGTTGTAATTGTTTTTTATCTCCGCTTAAAAATGTGTCCAATAATCATTTCATTTGTTTTGTCACTTAATCTCAATCTGCTTTTCGTTTCTTTTTTTCACTTCCACTTAAATGTTTAAAGGAACTCATTTGAAAGACTACGTGCTTAAAAGAAAGAAGAAAATGATCTTAAATTAAATTGATTTTTACTCAATATCCTAATTACAAACAAACTTACAATTTGTGGAATTTTATATTATTTATTATTTTAATAAAATAACGTTTTCTAAAAACTCATTTTAGAAATTGCAGAAAGTATTAGCTATGAATTGAAAACTATTATGTACAATCAAACGTAGGTACTTAAGTCCTTGTTGCACAATTTTTAATCGAAACACACATAAGATGCAATACAATAAGGATCGACAGGCGCGGGGATCGATCGTATTTACAAGCATTGACACAGGCGTGTGAATCCATAAGCACGGGAAAGCTCGTCCACACTTGTCGACTTTATCAATAAACAATTTGGCATTATTTGGATCCAAAACAAAAATTACGGACCCTAGGCACATGCCTAGGTTGTCTAAGTCTTAGTCCGAGCCTGAAACAATCCTTTACATTATCGAAATTTCCCATTAGTTTTATAGATGGTTAAAATTTAGAGATTTGACGAATAAAAATAAGAAACCAATCGATATAATCAAAATGAAACATATACTAATTAAATAATAAAGTAAAATGGTAAAATCAATCGTTGTTACCTTATTTTTGTCACAATGAAACGATTATTGGTCATGTAATTAATGTAACCTGCTTATACTATTGCAGATGACTATATTTGTTAATCAAGAGATGATCTGAGAATAATAGTAAAAATATTGGAATAAAAATTATAGTAATTATAAAAGACGTCAGCAAAAAAGCCGTGAAAAGATTACAGGAAATGAAAAAAATATATATGAAATAAAGGAGTTTATATATAAATACCTGTAAACAGTCCATTAAAATGAATAGTAAACGATAACAAGTATTATCAAATAAAAACAGATGAATCATCTTTAAAAATTTGATATATAAGTTAGACTTAAATCCGAGAAAGCACCGATCCTTAGAATGGTCACCATATAACTGTTGTAGAAGTATTTAGGGGAAATAAAGAGACAAAAAACAAGAAATTTTTAGAATAACCAGAAAAAAATTATTAATAAGTGACATATCCCTTGCTAGAACCTTAACCAAAAAATAAAAGTAACAGAAAAACTGCTGGAAACAAAATATAAAGTAAGAGTAAATAGAAAGGAGATGGAATAATTCGAGGCCTTGACACGATTGAGATAGGGTGGATGCATTAGCAACACTACTCTTCTAAGTGGTGTTGACAATTATTGTAACATAAACACTGAAATTAAGATAAAATTTATCTTAATTTCAGTGTTTATGTTACATTTAATGTAACCTTGTTTAGCCTAAGTAAGCAGGAAGAGCTAATTAAATTGACAATTCAACTACATAGTAGATTCAGTAGGAAACATGGGATTGTAAATCAATGATCCTATAGTCCAGCAAATAAAAAATGAAATGAGTCATACTCGTGATCACTGCTTATCGTATCCTTTAGCTGTGTTATAACTTTTAACAAAAAATGTGTCAGTTATGGAGAAAGGATGCATATATGACTAGTATATATTTAGTTTTCTCAGTATTACAAGTACATGTGTATTAGAAGTATACAGGTGAATTTGTGTTTAACGATAAATTTCTTTTAATAAATATTGCTCAATTCAATAAAATCGGAACAAATTAGTACTAGCGGGGAGGGTATAAATGTGAAAATTTCTCGCAAACAGGTATGACTTAAAGCTAAAAAAATAATGTCTCTTTTGTCTGTCTCCTTGGTAATGTTATAAAAGGCTTCGCCTCCCTCAAACTTTTCCGTAAAATGTTCTGTCCATAGTTTTACTTTTTTGTGCTGTTATGCCAATATATTACGCTCCTTATCTCTTCACATCTTCTGTTTGAATTCTGTTCTGCTTTTGTTCAGTTCTGCTAAAAATTTTTTGCCTCTGTTGGCCTACTTAGTTCTTACTTAAAGTTTTTTGTTCGTATATTATTTTATTCTTTTCTTAGTTATTTATATTTCTCCTCTGATTTTCAGGTTCTGTGATTCTCTTACATCAGTAAATATGATCTGTTTTTTCTTTATGCTATGATCTGATAATCTTTGTCATTCGTTCTTGTTTATTTTTTTGTTTACCTACCATGCCTGTCTATTTTCTAGTCTGAAGTTTATATTATGTTGTTTATATGCTCTATATTTGTTCGTATCTTTGAGTACTACATTGTATCTTTCATGTTTAGAACCTATTTCCTTTTTTATGTTTAAAATTCTGGCTCTTACTCTACTTTCGACCCAGTAGTGATCAGAATCCGATTTGCTTCTCTCCTGGTGTGGACATTTATTATATTCGATTGATGTCTTGAGTCTGCAATAAGATGGTAAGTTCGTCTGGTGTACAGTGTACAACCGATTCCAAAAAAATCTACTATAAAAAAACAGTTTCGAAATCAGAGCGTCAAAAATATTTGAAATTCGTTATTTCTCAAGCACCAAATTTTTTTATTTTGTTTGTTGTTTATCATTCCTGTTCCATACCATGTAAGTTAAACGCTTATTTTGTATTTCAGTTTGGCAGAATTTTCAGTTTTTATTGACGCTTGTAAAATGAAAGTATTTGTTTTGTTGTTGTAATCGTTTTATCTGTTTTATCGTTCTTTTGCCGTGTAAACGCATTTGGTCATAATGTCATTACATTAATGCCGCTATTAAATAGACTAACTCGGTTATTTTCACACTCAAAAGAATTAAATTTTTCTCAGAAGTAAACTCTGAATCATGATAATTGCGTTTCGTTTTGTTTACTGTCGAATACATTAAATCAATTGCAGAGATAACTATATTTGTAACAATATTATGCATGTAATATGTAATGCATGACTCGACGTATAACTTTTTCTAAATAATAATTTTTTCTATGTTTTTAGAAGACTTTTTGTAGTTAGGTATATACCAAACAAGCATCTGCGGTTGCTAGTATTCTTTATATTCTAGTCGATTCCTACTTAAACGACCCATTATTAATGTAAATGAAAATCAATTTTATGAACTAGATATAACGTATTATTTTTATTATTACAAGCAGAAATATATTATTTTATTGTTAAAATGTAAAGTGACTAGCAAGAAAACATATTTTATTATGCAACGCCAATTATCAAATTTAAAATTTCCGAGAATTCTTGATTGCCATGTGATTTTGGCTAATTTTGACCACTTACGACGCGTGATTTTGGATGACTAATTTTATTTTTTGTTGAATAGACTTTAAGTGTATATAAGTAGCATAAAAATAGACACTATAAGCTAATCAGAGAAGAGTAGTACAAATAAGTTATTTGGAAGAACTGGTTTTTAAGAAAGTCGATTTTAAAATTGATTTAAGATTAACTAAAATTAATAGATGTATAAGATTTTTAGACAATATATTGATATCGAAGATCATTTAAAGCTAAAAGAAAAAATATAAACAACAATATGAAGGTCAGCGGTTCTATATAGATGTATCATTTATAAGTCTTTAAAAAATAGAGATACTGGAAAGACATATTTTAAAGAAATGGACGTGTAGGAAATTATCACTTTATAGCCTTTCATAAAATTATTAGATCCTCCGAGATATGGCAAACTAATCACCGGCATCCTTTGGACATCGGTAAACTCATCACCAGCATTTTTACCCTAAGGCCTCTTATACATATATATTATATATTTATATCGGAAGTCTCTCGGTGAGTGGCCTATTAAAAATTTATCTGCATAGGTTTTTAATAGTAAACTTTTTAATAAAAATATTTGTGAACATGTGCTATTTCTGGTTATACCTGAAATAGTCTCCAACTTCGTTATTTTATTTGCATTCGGACTTGCATTATTCTTTCAAATTATCCAATCTTAGCGCTTTGCAACCATTTACCTGTCATGGGGTACAGGTAGGCCAGTGATCATTTTGCAAATCTCTACAGGTTTGTTTTAAAATCCCTGCTTTTATTGTGGTGAGGAGTTTGTACTATCTACGAGGGCATTTATGCTAATTGGCGACAAGTTTAGGTGTCAAGAGAATAAAGAAACAATTTTTACAAGACTACTTAGGTTGGTGGGACACATAATGAATGGGAGAGTTAAGATTATTTGAACGGATAGGATTAAAAATACCAGAATAAAAGGGACGCATTAAAAAGAATATGATTGGCAAATGCCAGAGAAGAATAACGAGTTGGCAAAGACAAGCGGTCGACAGAGAAAAATTTTAAAGATCTTACGGTTAAGTGCCTACGTGATTTACAAACTGACTGTAATCATCTAAAGATTAACAAACTATTTATATATGAAGACCCTAATTTCAGTTCACTTCATTTAGAAGATAGAAGACAAAGCCAGCAGCAAAGATGCGCCGAATAAGACTTAATTTCGTTTTAATTTTTAATGTTTACTATTATTTATAAAGGCAAGATATAATATTATTTTGCTACCATTGTATTACAAAGATTTGATTCATCTGCATTTATCCTGATCACAAAAGAAGATACTTACGAATAAATATGCACTTATTAATGCTTATACCTTCAATAGTATTATCGATTCATAGTCATTGATATTGTTATAATTTTTAAAATATTAATTCATATATTATTATGATAATCTTCTCACAAGAGCTTAAAATTTTTTTTAGAATTTGTAAAATAATCTGTTCATTTATTGCAAAGGTGTTTTGATTTATTCAAATTTATATTATTACAAATAATTACTATTTCAATTACTTATATAAAAATCGCCCAATATTGTATAATGCACGCATCAAGAGTTCAAACACTTCGATAAATAAACAAGACTTACCCAATAACCGCGGAGAAATTTGAAAGTCTTGACCTAAACCACAATAATCAACTCACGCACAAAACATTCCGCCGGACAACCAAAAATTCGACGATAGTTACCCAACCAGCACGCACACAGCAGTAAACTGCATGTAGTACGAATTTTCAAGTTAAGCTTCGACCAACACTTATCCGAATTAATTATAATACTCAGGTATTTTCATTACTGAGAAACCGATTATAAAAAAAGTACACCGATATAAAAATAGCGGTTGAACGTAGAGTGCTTCTCACTTATGTAATACGGAAAGTACAAAATCAGCGTAAAGTTTAGCATTATTGGAACTGAAGAGGTTATTGGAAAGATCGGACTTCAGTGTCTTAGAGTTATTTTTAAAACAGTTTGGTATACTAATATCATGTGATATATTACTGAAATACTTTTAAACAATATAATATCGTAAGATTACTGCAAAAATCCGTAAGTCCATAATTTTTAGTTTGGAATCATTTTTAAATTTTTAAATCTTACTACATAGTCCAGGATATGACGGTAAAAATAAAAGAAAACCTCTGAATTTTTTAATATACTTTGATTTACTTGAAATTTTGACAGTAGTTAAAAATACATATATGATCAAAACCTACCCTATGCCAATCTGTGTTTCTCCTGGGGGTGGTTACCACCTCAACTCGGAGATGGAAAAAGTTTATCAAAAAAAAAAAACTATAGTAGTTACTAGAACTAGAAGAGTAAATTTTAAGACAACAATATTATTTAGCGTTAGTCAATATTTGTGAAGATACAGTGGGTGATCAAATTATTAGAGCCACCGCATAAAATTTTACTTTTTGTTTAATTAGGGAATGTAATTAAGATATAAAATATAGTTTTGTGCTTAATTATATTTTACTGTGATTAGAACCTTTTAAAGTTTACATATATGTAGGATTGCATTCGTCATCAAATAAAAAATTATTTCCGTAACCCATTTCTAACTTCCATTTATCACGAACCGCGAGCCGAAGTCCAGAGTTAAGTAGCATTGCTGAATGCTCGACGGTGGGTCGAGTACAGACAGTGTAAGAAAAGCACTCACGACGAAGAGTTGACATGCATAAGACGGCATCTCATCTCTAAACGACGTACGACGTTCATATTTTTGCTATTAAGTCGCGGTCCTATTTTAAGTTACAGTTACATTAGTTAGTTGTATATTCATTCCTGTAATTTACGAGTTCAACAATAAAGTGTTTGTTCTAATTTCGAATCGACCTGTGACCATTTAATTAAACACTAGACAACAAGACAAAACCTACATTTTGGAGACCAACCGGGATAGACGATAAACAGATAGACGATAAACGATAGAGTATATCGAATAGCAGATAGACGATAGCGGATAGAAGATACACGATATATGATATCGATACGACAGGATTGAAACTGTTTAAATTGGATTGTTTGTTTATGCCGACACAATAACGCCTTGTTTTCCAATACCAACTCAAGTAGATGTGCCAAGAACGAGAAATAGGAGCAAAGAGGATAAAATCTCAACCGATGAAAGATGGTAATGAATTAAAAAACTTAAAGATGATTTGCTAAGGTAAGAGTTATTTTTCAACATTCCACCAAGCAAAGACGAAAGAAGATAACGTTATTTGTATTCAAAGACATTTGTGTTTTAAAAATTTTTTATTTATTTTTGTTCATATAACAGAGAACTCTTAGTAAAGACGCACGTGTTTTTTTTATGAATGAACTATTTTTATTTGATCTATATTTTTTAATTTTATTACTCCTATTTTTTTTTAGAGGATATATTTTTGTTTTAGATTAGGAAAACGATAACTTATGTAGGTTTAATAGCACAACTATGCGTTATTATGGTTATTAAAAGACGATAATCATTTTTGAAAAGATTTAAGTTTTTGTATGTTTTATATATTTTTGATATTGTTGAGAATATTTTTAAAAATATTTGATTATTATGGCAACTTTGAGTTCTATCGCTAATATTGGCTATAATATTACTCATGGTATTACTTATTTTCACGTAAGTGAAAATTTTGAAGTTTCTGATTTAATTGCGGTATGTCAAATTCTTGGTTTAAATTATAAAAATGAAAAGCATGACGTGGTTGTCCGTATTTGTTCCTTTTTGAACGACTTCATGAAACTGAATACGACGAAGAGGAGGATGACGTATCAGATATAGACGAAGACAACGAAAGACAAAAGGAAGAAAGAGACAACTGGAAGACGAAAAAAGAGAACTGAAAGACGAAAAAAGACAACTGGAAGACGAAAAAAGACAATTGGAAGTAGATAGACGGAAAGATGACGAAAGACGTGAAAAAGAAAAACGACGATTAGAAGAAAAAAAAACGGAAAGACGATGAAAGACGTACGAAAAACGAAATACTTGAAGAAATAGAAAGACGAAGTTATGACGCGAAATTATGACAAAGGACGACAAATATGTGATGAAAGACGTAGATATGAACAAAATAATAACGAAGAAAGACGAAGATACGAAGAAAGAGGAGATGATGAAGATATTTACATATATAAAGAAACTGGAGAAAAAAGATATAGCGCAAGCAATGACGCTGAGGTTAGATTCGTGAATACTGAAGCGACTGGTATAAGACGACATCAATCGTTTGCATTAAGTTTTAGAGACGTGGAGGACAGCATAAGATCATTTGATGGAAAATACGAATATTCTATTCGCACGTGGATTATCGAATTTGAAGAAGTAGCTGAGATAACCGGGTGGAACAACCTACAAAAATTAATCTATGCAAAAAAATGTTTAAAATGACTCGCTAAATTGTTTGTGCAGTCAAAAAAAGGCATCAGAAATTGGCCTGAATTGAAGAGACGTTTAGTAGAAGAATTCGGAGCACAGGTAAATAGTGCGCAGATACATAAAATGTTGATGACGAGACGAAAAAAATTTGATGAGACTGTACAAGAATACATGATTAAAATGAGAGAAATAGCTAATAAAGCTTACTTAGAAGAAGAAGTTGTTATAAAATACATAATTGATGGTATACAAGACGAATCATCCAATAAACTAGTGCTATATGGGGCAAAAAGTTTTGCAGAGTTTAAGGAGAAAATTAAACTGTATGAGAGGATACACGGTAAGAAGACTACTGGACAAGCTCAAGGCTTTAGAGCAAATAAAGAAGGATTTAAGAAAAACGAAGACATCGTTAGAAAGGAAAAGAGAGAGAAGAACGACGTGAAAAGAGGACACAACATTACTTGTTTTAATTGTGGAAGTAAAGGTCATAAATCTAAGGATTGCCCAGATAAGTCTAAGGGGACGAAGTGTTTTGGATGCAACAAATATGGGCATGTTTCAAGTAAATGTCCCAATAAAAATTCGACGAAGTCTACTACAGAAGACACAGTTTGAAATGTAATTGAAGTTTAGCCAAAAACGGCGGTTAAGCTTACAATTAATCAGATCACACTAACAGCTCTATTTGACACCGGAAGTGATATATGTTCGATAAGAGAAGACATTTACGATAAATTCTTTAACGATATTTGTTTAACACCCGACACCATAATTTTGAAAGGCTTAGGACAAAATGCGAAAGTTAACACATTAGGATCATTCTCTACACAAGCTGACGTTAACGAAGAGAAGTTTGATCTAAAATTTCATATTATCCCAAAAGCTGCGACAACTTTTCAAGCAATAATTGGAAATAATATTTTACAACAAGCATCTGTTAGTATAAGAGATTTGACGAAAATTTGATTATGCATATTATGCTTGACGAAAAAGATAAAGAAGATGAAGTAAAAGTAGCACACATTGAAGACGACAAACACAGAGAAATTGTTAGGCAGTTAATGGAAAGTTATGAACCAAAGGAAACGAAGAAGACAGAAATTGAAATGAAAATTGTCCTAAAAAGAGGAACCAATTTATGAAAGACCCAGACGATTATCTGTTCCTGAAAAAGAAGAGGTAGACAGACAGATAAATGAATGATTAAATGAAGGTATAATTAATCCTAGTTGTTCGGATTTTGCCAGCCCAATAGTATTATTAAAGAAGAAGGACGGTCAGAGAAGTCACGAGGTACGACATTTTTCTGAGAAAAAAACTGAGGAAGTAATAGTTTAGACTTTTATATACCAAAGATAAAAGAAAAAGTTAAAAATGTTATTTCTAACTGTATAACATGTATACTGGGAAGTAAAAAGGAGGGGAAAGAAGGAAAACTTCCCATACCAAAACTAGACGGTCCACTGCACACATATCATGTGGATCATTTAGGTTCATTGCAAACTACAAATAAGAATTATCAGCATATACTTGTAATTATAGACGATTTTACCAAATTTGTTTGGCTTTACCCGACGAAGTCAACAACGAGTTGTGTTGAAAAGCTACGAAGGATATTTGGAATCCATTTTCGAACGATAACCGTCCGAGGTACAGCATTTCGATCAGAGGAATTAAATAGATAGTGCCAAAAAGAAAACATTCAACATGTTTTATTCGCAACTGGAGTACCACGAGGAAACGGTCAGGCTGAACGAGTGAATAGAACAATTATCCCTGTTCTAACGAAATTGAGTTTGGACGAACCTACGAATTGGTATAAAAATGTTGACAGAGTACAAAATGCATTGAACTCAACCTATCAACGAAGTATAGGTACTACACCTTTCGAAGTATTGGTTGGCGTAAAAATGAAAAATAAAGAAGAAATTCGAATCAGAGAACTCTTAGAGGAAGAGGTGATTAAAATATATGATGAAGAAAGAAAAGAACTTCGAGCAAGATGTAAGGAACAAATATGTAAAGTACAAGCTGAAAACAAAAAGGGGTATAATTCAAGAAGAAAACGAGCAACAATTTATAAGGAGAAAGATTTAGTTGCCAGAATAAAAAGAACCCAGTTCGGCCCAGGACTTAAACTCAAGAGAAAGTTCTTAGGTCCTTACGAAATTGTCAAGGTCAAAGATAACGATCGTTATTATGTTGTAAAGATTGGTGAGCATGAGGGACCAATGCGAACATCAACGTATGCTGAGTATCTGAAACCGTGGGTCGACAATGAAAGCGACGAATCCGAGTCGGATTCTGAATAGGAAGGT